TAGTATTTGTAGTACTTGTACCTGACAGTTGTAGTATTTGTAGTATTTGTAGTACTTGTACCTACTTGTAGTAGTTGTACCTGACAGTTGTAGTATTTGTAGTATTTGTAGTACTTGTACCTGACAGTTGTAGTATTTGTAGTACTTGTACCTGACAGTTGTAGTATTTGTAGTATGTGTAGTATTTGTAGTACTTGTACCTGACAGTTGTAGTCCGTGTCGAGTCCGTCCCAAAGACTCATGAACTGAGCTTTCATCATGGCTGTGGCCTCGTGATCCGAACTCGAACGATTCCTCAGAAACGAATCTGAAACAAATGACAAACACCTGTCACACCTGCTCCTGTCTGCTCCTGTCTGTCCCTGTCACTGCCTCAGTCATTGCCCCCGTCATTGCCCCTGTCCGCCCCTGCCCGCCCCTGGGTTAACCCTTGGGCGTGTTACCGATCTCGTCGATGAAGATGATGCTGGGCTGGAGTTTGAGGGCGAGGGAGAAGACGGCGGCGGCGAGCTTCTGTGATTCGCCGTACCACTTGTCCGTCAAAGTGCTGGGCTGGAGGTTAATGAAGCGAAACCCCGCCTCCTTCGCCGTGGCTTTGGCGATGAGCGTTTTCCCGCATCCCGGAGGCCCGAACAACAGCACCCCTACAGGACACACAAGTAATTACACAAACACATTTCAATTTCGATAAAACAGACTCGATACTCGATACCAATTCTGATCTTTTTGTTTAGACAATCTCCTGTGATTTTCCACATTAAATGTAAAACTTTCTGTTCTATTCCCATGTGTCCTTATATCTGTGTGATCCCTGGTTGATCCCTGGTTGAGTCCTGGTTGAGTCCTGGTTTAGTCCCTGGCCCTGGTGTGTAATCCCTCACTGGTCAATCTCTCTTATTCTTGTTCTGATCCAGCTCCAGATCTAAAAACATTCAGGAAACGTTCTAAAGTTTCTACAGGTTCTACAGGTTCTTCTCTGTCCTATCACATTGACTTTCTAGGATCCAGACTAGTTTTGATATCCATCAGTGTCTGTAGTGACTGAAACTGAAACTAGAACTTTATTAATGTTCTGTATTTTAGTGTTCTTTCATTTAAACGTGTCTGGTTTAGAGCAAACTGGCCCAGGGGCCAAAAGTGGCCCTCACACCGGTCTGCAATGGCCCCAAGACTTCCCCATACAACCACAAACCCAACCTTTATACTGCTGAAAGAGTGTGGAGAAGGAAGAGGAGCGAAGGAGGAAGAGGAGCAGAGGAGGAGGAGCAGAGGAGGAGGAGCAGAGGAGGAGGTGCAGAGGAGGAGGAGCAGAGGAGGAGGTGCAGAGGAGGAGGAGCAGAGGAGGAGGAGCAGAGAAGGAGGAGCAGAGGAGGAGGTGCAGAGCAGGAGGAGCAGGTGCAGAGCAGGAGGAGCAGGTACAGAGGAGGAGGAGGTGCAGAGGAGGAGGAGGTGCAGAGGAGGAGGAGGTGCAGAGGAGGAGGAGGTGCAGAGGAGGCGATGCAGAGGAAGAGGAGCAGAGGAAGAGGAGCAGAGGAAGAGGAGCAGAGGAGGAGGTGCAGAGGAGGAGGTGCAGAGGAGGAGGTGCAGAGGAGGAGGAGCAGAGGAGGAGGTGCAGAGGAGGAGGAGGAGCAGAGGAGGAGGTGCAGAGGAGGAGGCGGAGCAGAGGAAGAGGAGCAGAGGAGGAGGTGCAGAGGAGGCGGAGGTGCAGAGGAGGAGGAGCAGAAGAGGAGGTGCAGAGGAGGAGGTGCAGAGGAGGAGGAGGTGCAGAGGAGGAGGTGCAGAGGAGGAGGTGCGGAGGAGGAGGAGGAGGTGGAGAGGAGGAGGTGCAGAGGAGGAGGTGCAGAGGAGGAGGTGCGGAGGAGGAGGAGCGGAGGAGGTGCGGAGGAAGAGGAGCAGAGGAGGAGCAGAGGAGGAGGAGCAGAGGAGGAGGTGCAGAGGAGGAGGTGCAGAGGAGGAGGAGGAGCAGAGAAGGAGGAGCAGAGGAGGAGCAGAGGAGGAGGTGCAGAGGAGGTGCAGAGGAGGAGGTGGAGCAGAGGAGGTGTTTACCTTTGGGCGGCTGCAGGAGTCTGGAGTTCTGGAACAGGTGTCTCTTCTGAACAGGTAAAATCACCGTCTCCTTTAACTCCGTGATCACCTCATCCAGACCTGCAATGTCCCTCCAGGTGATCTACAAACACATAGAAGACACGTGAGGAGCACGTGAGGAGCAGGAGGAGCAGGAGGAGCAGAGGAAGACCGATACCAGTTGTTCAGAATCCAAAGCAACAAATGGCTGCTAAGCTCTACAAGAAGTAGAAGTAGTAGTAGTAGTAGTAGTAGTAGTAGTACTTGCAGTACTTGTAGTACCTGCATGGTGAGCGGGTCGACAAGGTGCGCGGCGATGCTCATCTCGTACTCGCTCAGTTTGACGTTCTTCACTCCGATCTGCTTCATGAGTTTCTCCGCCTGCTTCTGCGCCTCCACCTTCTGTTTACGCGTCGGGTCTAGTGCGTCCACCATCCACTTTATGGTGAAGTACGTGACGGCGCCGAACACCGTCAGACGAAACAACAGCCCGATCACCTCCGAGCGACCCAGAGGACGCCCCACCTGCTCCACCGGGACCTCACGAAGAACCATCTCACCTGAACACACAGGGACAGAAAGACAGAGGGGTGAGGGGGACAGAGGGATGGACGGAAGGACAAACGAATGGACAAAGGGACAGAGGAGCAGAAGGACAGAGGGATGGAGAACAGAAGGACAGAGGAGCAGGGTTAGTCTTTGTACATATACGAAATAAAAGGACCAATATTAAACTTGGCTGTCCCCCTGTCCCCCCGGACCCCGTAGAAACTGTCGCTGATTTAACCCGGAAAGTGCGTGAATCTAAACGCGAGGTTTCGGTTTGACTGGAAAATTCACCAAGCCTTAAAAACCAAAGTAGAAATATACTGATGTGTTTAACGCAGCCGAATAATCCAGAAGCACGTCTCTTAACGCTGTACGTGTGTCCCCAGTGACAGTTCATGTATTTATACTAAAGAGTGAGTATAAAATTGCAGATCATGTCTTTTCTCACGCACAATCTGGCGAGCGTTGCGTCAAAACCACCAGAGCACAGCGTGAACTCCCTGTCAGATCATTTAAATCACCAAACAGCACGAGGAGACCGCTCAGGTTTAATAAAAAAAAAGTTTAAATCCTTTAATAAAACATGTTTAAATCCACATTATGCTCGTGTTTTATCCGGTAAACGTGAAAAGTGTCTCTGTATCCGACGCACATCTGGCGCTAGCGTTAGCCGCATTAGCTCCGGTGACCTTCCCGGTTTGATATTTCCGTTCTTTCCTGTGCAATAACCGGAGTTATTTAGTTACCGATGGCATATTCACAATCTTACGGGTTTATATGGAGCGACAGAAGCCGACAGACCCAGAGAAGAGACGGTTTTTGAGGTAAAAAGAATGAAAAAGTGCGGAAAAGTGACAGACCTCCGCTGGACGTGTGTGCTGCAGTCTGCGCCGGAACCACTGCGCCCCCAGCGGACACACGGGGAACACACCGTTTCCACTGCGCCCCCAGCGGACACACGGGGAACACACAGATTCCGAAAACAAAACGAAATCTGTCAAAAATGTAGAAATTTCTTCTGAACAGTTCAGGCAAAACGTTCCTTTTGGCAAAGTATAATTAATGTTATATTTAGCCGTCACAATATTTTAGCCATTTTGCCTTTTTGTCATCTTTGTCTTTGAGCTTTTTGGTTTGTGCGTGAAGAAAAATGATTTTGCAAACATCCGTCAACAGCTTTAAAGTGAAAGTTCTTTTATTTAGCCAATAATAATGATAAAGAATAAATTCTTCCTTTAAAATATTGTCTTTTTGACTCTGATTTCTTCACTGCAGGATCACATTACATCATCCCCCCGTGAGCGGTCATCCCTGTGTCCACGGAGTGTCGCTAAAACACCACGCACTGCTCTTCACACCGCAAATATTTCATTTAAAGACGTTTCACTTCGATTAAATAATAGAATAATATTCTTTGTTGTATTCTTAGCCAAGTGAACCTTTAAATGTGCATTTAAACGGGCTGTGACTTTCTGAATCTGCACTAAACACACAGACTGAGCCTGAGCTCTGCAGCTGCACTCGGGATTTTCACAATAAAATATTTTTCTGAGAAACTCCGCTGGGTCTTTAAAGATAATAAATACAAAAACAGTAGATTATGACTCAAACTAAACCCCGTCTGCGTTAGTTTTTTCTGAACAGTCTTTTCTGATCCACGTACGGCTCTGTTTCTCGTTCTGGACTTTTACTTTTCTCCCGGATGCTCCGTGCAGACAGCGGCTCCTCTCCGCTCCTGTGTCCGCTCTGACGCGTCTCCAGCCCGGCTCCGTTCCTCCGCTCTCCCGCTGTCTCCGGAGCTCCAAACTTCTCCCAGACCCGGATTATTTGCACGGATTATAATTTCAGCCTCGTGGATCTCCCGTTAAATAAAGCCTCGGATGGTTGTGTGCGGCGCCATGGGACCCGGGCAGCCGGTCCCACCGCGGGAGCATGGAGCGAGCCCGAGCTGCCTCTGAGCTCAGCCCCGAAACAAGCACCAGCGCCCGGCCGTGACTCAGGTAACGAGCCGGCTAGCATTAGCACCACGGAGCTCACTTCTTTCAGCGGATAACTTGTTAATTCTAAAATAAACATATTATTTTATCTACAATTTAGTATTTAATGCAGAGCCCCAAAGCGTAAGATGCAAGATTTGTTTTTCCAGACTATAGACCGAAGCCTCCAGGTTTGACACCGACCACAGGCTCCGAGCGGCGGCTCCCTGTCAGCTGATGTCCCGGTTAGCATTTAGCACTAGCCTTTAGCCTTTAGCCTTTAGCCTTTAGCATTCATTTAAACTCTGTTAACTGATTTCAGCCACAAACTCTTCTCCGTGCTCCGTAAACTTCCTCTCGTATCTGTATCACGCTCGGGAATATTCGATTTATGGTTTGGATTAAATTTTTCTGAGGCTGATTTTTTTGTACCGAGCCGTTTCCTTGTCCTGCCCGGGAAAGAGGCGCAGGAGCCGGATCCGTGCCGCCGCGTCCCCCGGTGCCGCGGACTCCGGACGTTTAAGACTCTTCCTCGGTTCGGATGGGCTTTGTTCCTCCGTACCGGCCCCCGGAGCCCCAGTGACCCGGCGGAAGGCTCCAGGGGACAGCGGACAGTGCTGGTTCCTCTCCGGGCTCTGGGCTGCTCCTCCCCGGGGACACTGCACCTGGACCGGGCCGGTTCTGACGGAGACCCGGGTCATGGCGAACATCATCAAGGAGATCGTTAGTCGGAACAAAAGGCGGTACCAGCTCGGAGACTTCGACCTGGACCTCACCTGTATCCTCCTCAGAACTGAACCAGAACTGAACCAGGACTGAACGAGGTCTGGACCAGGACTGAACCAGGTCTGGACCAAGCCTGAACCAGATTTTAACCAGGTCTAAACTAGGTCCAAACCTATTCCGAACCAGGACTGAACCAGGACTGAACCAGGACTGAACCAGATATTAACCAGGTCTAAACTAGGTCCAAACTTGATCCAAACCAGGACTAAACCAGATCTAATCCAGGTCTAAACCAGGACTAAACCAGGACAGGACTAAACCAGGACTAAACCAGGTCCAAACCAGGTCCAGGACTTGTACTTGTGTGAGTTGTTTCTCGTCCTAAACATGTTCTTCAGATATTTACCCAAACCTGATCGCGATGGGCTTCCCTGCCGAGCGTCTGGAGGGAGTTTACAGGAACAACATCGACGACGTCGTACGGTACGAAAACCACCTCTCGTTTACACACAATTATACAATACGCACAATTACACAAACCGTACAATTACACAACATTCTTCTAATAAATACAATATTTTCTGTTTCAGGTTCTTCAACTCGAGGCACAAAAATAACTACAAGATCTACAACCTGTGAGTGCAGTACCAACGCACAACACACAACTCACACGACACACAACACACACACACAACACACACCACACACGACACACAACACACACACAACACACACTACACAACACAACACACACCACAACACAACACACACACCAAACACCACACACACACACACACAACACACACCACAACATACACCACACAACACACACCACAACGCACACCACACACACACACACACCACAACGCACAACACACAACTCACACCACACAACACACACCACAACACACAACACACAACTCACACCACACAACACACACCACAACGCACAACACACAACTCACACCACACAACACACACCACACAACTCACACCACAACACACAACTCACAACACACACCAAAACTTACAACACACACCACAACACACACCACAACATACACCACAACACACAACACAACACACAACACTCTTCACACAACTCACAACACACAACTCACAACACACAACTCACAACACACAACTCACAACACACAACTCACAACACGTTTCACACAATACTCTTCACACAACACTCTTCACACAACACACACCACACACCACACACCACACCAGGCTGAAACTCCACGTCCCATAATCCTCTGTTTTGTTCTGTTGTTGTTTCCTGGAGTTGTGTTTGTTTCATTCACATGTTTCACACAAACTGCACATTTAAGACGAGTTCTTGTGAACAGAACGTTGCAGAACCGAGAGAACGCGGCGGCGTCTTTTACTCTTCTCAAATATAAATCCTCCTGTTTGTTTTCCTCAGATGTTCAGAGAGAAACTACGACCCCAACAAGTTCAACTGCCAGGGTAAGAGTCTGACCTCTGACCTCTGACCCCGAACCCTCTTATTATTATTATTACTACTACTATTATTACTACTATTATTACTACTACTATTATTATTACTTCTATTATTACTACTATTATTATTACTACTATTATTACTACTAGTACCACTACTACTATTATTATTACTACTATTATTACTACTACTATTATTATTACTTCTATTATTACTACTATTATTATTACTACTATTACTATTACTACTACTACTACTACTATTATTACTACTATTACTATTATTACTACTACTACTACTATTATTACTACTATTACTATTACTACTACTACTACTACTATTATTACTACTATTACTATTATTACTACTACTCTCTCTCATTGATTTCTCCTCTGATTGGCTCTCGCCATCTCTCCTCTCCTCTGATTGGCGGCGGCGGTCCTCAGTGGCGCAGTACCCGTTCGACGACCACTCTCCGCCGCAGCTGGAGCTCATGCGTCTGTTCTGCGAGGACTTGGACTCGTGGTTGGGGCAGGACGCCAAACACGTGGCAGCGGTTCACTGTAAGGCGGGAAAAGGTCGCACTGGGGTCATGATCTGCGCCTACCTCCTCCACCGCGGCCAGTTCACCACGCCCGAAGACGTGCTCGAGTTCTACGGACAGGCGCGCACCACCGACCGCAAGGTGAGACTGACCGCACCGACCGTACCGACCGCATCGACCGCACGGACCGCATCGACTGCACCGACCGCACGGACGGCACCGACTGCACCGACCGCACCGACTGCATGGACCGCACCGACCGTACCGACCGCATGGACTGCATGGACCGCACCGACCGCATGGACCGCATGGACCGCACCGACTGCACCGACCGCACTGACTGCACCGACCGCATGGACGGCACCGACTGCACCGACCGCACCGACTGCATGGACCGCACCGACCGTACCGACCGCATGGACCGCATGGACTGCATGGACCGCATGGACCGCACCGACTGCACCGACCGCACCGACCGCACCGACTGCACCGACCGCACCGACTGCACCGACTGCACCGACCTGCCGACCGACCCGCACCGACTGACCGAACGCACCGACTGCACCGACTGCATCGACTGCACCGACCGCACCGACCGCACCGACTGCATGGACCGCACCGACCGTACCGAACGCATCGACTGCACCGACTGCATCGACTGCATCGACTGCACCGACTGCACGACTGCATCGACTGCACCGACTGCACCGACCGCACCGACGCACCGACTGCACCGACGCACCGACCGCACCGACGCTGACGCATCGACTGCACCGACCGCACCGACTGCCGACCGCGACCGCACCGACCGCGACCGACTGCACGACTGCACGACCGCACGACCGCACCGACCTGCACCGACTGCACCGACCGCACCGACCGCATCGACCGCACCGACCGCATTGACTGCACCGACTGCATCGACCGCACCGCCCATAGACACAGTTTGGCGGCTTACAGAAGTCTGCAGGATGCCCCTCCCCCACATGTGTCTCAGTGTCAGATGTCCTCCCCTTTGTATGTATGTGTGTGTGTGTGTGTGTGTGTGTGTCAGATGCCCTCTTCACACACGTGTGTATGTGTGTGTGTGTGTGTGTGTGTGTGTGTGTGTGTGTGTGTGTGTGTATGTGTGTGTGTGTGTCAGTTGCTCTCTTCACACACGTGTGTATGTGTGTGTGTGTGTGTGTGTATGTGTGTGTGTGTGTGTGTGTGTGTGTGTCAGATGCTCTCTTCACACACGTGTGTATGTGTGTGTGTGTATGTGTGTGTGTGTGTGTGTTTGTGTCAGATGCCCTCTTCACACACGTGTGTATGTGTGTGTGTGTGTGTATGTGTGTGTGTGTGTGTGTATGTGTGTGTGTGTGTGTGTGTGTCAGTTGCTCTCTTCACACACATGTGTGTATGTGTGTGTGTGTTTCAGGGTGTGACGATCCCCAGTCAGCGCAGGTATGTGTCGTATTACAGTGTTCTCCTGAAGAACCGACTCCAGTACAAACCCACAGCCCTGCTCCTGCACAAGGTCCTGTTCCACACCGTGCCCATGTTCACCAACGGAACCTGCAGTGAGTACTACACATACTACTGCAAATACTACTACTACTACTACTACTACTGCAAATACTACTACACACACACACACACAAAGGTTCTCACTCAGGTCAAAGGTCACACTCAGGTCAAAGGTCACACCCAAGTCAAAGGTCACACTTAAAGCTGCACTGTGTCATTTTTCTGCTGGAGGCTCCGTCAGACGCTTTTCTCTGTGGAGATGCTGTTGCTTTGTTTGGAATGTGCCAACGTTTGGCTTTAAACCTTTCTGTCTCCGTGGAGACCAAACCAGACGGTGTTCCAGGTCAACTCTGTGGAGAGGCGAGCCCGCTCACAGTCAGTGTTGTTTTGTTTTACTCAGGACTTTAAAACCTCCTGTGACTGAATGAACATAAGTGGAGCTGTTTAAAGTCACACTGTGGAACATTCCAGACAGAACAGTGACGTCTCCATGGAAACACTAGGCCTTGTTCATGAAACACTCGTATGAACAGATTTGTTCTTCAGTTCTTCTGAAGAACAAATTTTTCCTTCACAAAACTTGATCTTATCTGAAAATGTTCTTCTGGAAACAAATCCTGTGAAGAGAAGAACCTGAAAGAACCAAACTGTTTTAGAACGAGATCATCTGATCTCCAACACAACATCATAATTCCTCCATGATGAGAAGGTCTGAATTTACTTCACTTATTTCCTATAAACGTATGACTGTGGGACCAACAACATTTATGAGGCGTTTTACAGGACATGTTATAATAGAACATGTTCTGCTCTAGAACATGTGTGTCTTTGGTCTCAGACTTTCTGTCCCAGTGTCTCCAGATGTTCCTCTGTCAGATGTCCTCGGTGCTGGACTCATCACCTTAGCATTCTTCTCTAACATGGATTCAACTCTCCATGTACTGACTCACAACACCTCCAATACTTGGTTCTTCTGTATGTTCTCTGTTCCTCCTCAAACTCTCAGTTCTTCTGTATGTTCTCTGTTCTTCCTCAGACTCTCAGTTCTTCTGTATGTTCTCTGTTCCTCCTCAGACTCTCAGTTCTTCTGTATGTTCTCTGTTCCTCCTCAGACTCTCAGTTCTTCTGTATGTTCTCTGTTCCTCCTCAGACTCTCAGTTCTTCTGTATGTTCTCTATTCCTCCTCAGATTCAGTTCTTCTGTATGTTCTCTATTCCTCCTCAGATTCAGTTCTTCTGTATGTTCTCTGTTCCTCCTCAGACTCAGTTCTTCTGTATGTTCTCTGTTCCTCCTCAGATCCTCAGTTCGTGGTGTTCCAGCTCAAAGTGAAGCTCTTCACGTCAAACTCTGCTCTGACCAAACGAGAAGACAAACATCTGCAGATGGACCTGCCCCAGCCCCTGCCCCTGTGCGGAGACGTCAAGGTGGAGTTCTACCACAAGACCAGCAAGATCACCAAGAAAGTACGAGTACTGCTGCTACTGCTACTGCTACTACTGCTGCTACTACTACTGCTACTACTGCTACTACTACTGCTACTACTACTACTGCTGCTACTGCTACTACTGCTACTACTGCTACTACTGCTGCTGCTACTACTACTACTACTACTACTACTACTGCTGCTACTGCTACTACTGCTGCTACTGCTGCTACTGCTACTACTGCTACTACTGCTGCTGCTACTACTACTACTACTACTACTACTGCTGCTACTGCTGCTACTACTACTACTGCTGCTACTGCTACTGCTGCTGTACTACTACTACTACTACTACTACTACTGCTACTACTGCTGCTACTGTACTGCTACTACTACTACTACTACTACTGCTGCTACTGCTACTGTACTACTACTACTACTACTGCTGACTACTACTACTACTACTACTGCTGCTACTGCTACTACTGCTGCTACTACTACTACTGCTACTACTACTACTACTACTACTGCTACTATTGCTGCTACTGCTGCTACTGCTACTACTACAATCAACTTCAAACATTTTGATACTGTCATACATGCGTTTGTGACAACTAGGTTGGATCACTGTGATGCACTTTATGTTGGTGTCAGACAAAATGCACTTTCCCGGTTGCAACGGGTCCAAAACTCAGCGGCTCGACTTTTAACTGAAACCCGGAAACACAAGAGCATCTCACCGATTTTAGCTTCTCTTCATTGGCTTCCAGTGTCTTTTTAGAGTTGATTTTAAAATTCTTTTATTCACACTAGTGTTTGCACGGCCTAGCGCCCTCCTACCTCACTGACTTGATCCACCCTTATGTCCCCTCTCGTACTCTCAGGTCTGCAGACCAACTCCAGCTCACCGTCCCAAAAACTAAACGTAAACTTCGTGGGGACCGTGTGTTTTCTGTTTCTGCCCCTCAGCTGTGGAACCACTTGCCATTAGTGATTAGAGGCCGAGTCTGTACCTGTTTTTAAATCACTCTTAAAAACGTATCTTTTTTCACTGGCTTTTAATAAGTGACATGTATATTTCTTGTCGAGTATTTTGCTGTTTTTATGTTTTTAATGGTTGTATTGCATGTGTATCATATATTTTCTTCCATTGTCTGTCCTGTGTTTGTGTACAGCACTTTGGCCGACTGTAAAGTTTATAAAGTGCTTTATAAATAAAGTTGGTATGGTATGGTATGGTACTACTACTACTACTACTACTACTACTGCTACTGCTACTGCTACTGCTACTGCTACTACTACCGCTACTGCTACTACTACTGCTACTACTGCTACTACTACTGCTACTACTACTGCTACTACTACTACTACTACTGCTACTACTACTACTACTGCTACTACTGAGTCCTCGGTTCCTCGGTTCCTTGGTTCCTCGGTTCCTCGGTTCCTCCTCTCGCTGTGACTCCTGCTCTGTGTGTTTCAGGAGAAGATGTTCCACTTCTGGTTCAACACGTTCTTCGTCCCAGAACCTCCCCCCAATGGACAGAACCACGAGAACGGAGGCTCCCAGCAGAACCGGAAGAGGGGAGGAGGAGGAGAAGAGGAGAGAGGAGAGGAGAGAGGAGGAGGAGCAGAGGAACAGAGCGGCCCGGACTTTCTCACCCTCAGCCTCTGCAAACAAGAGCTGGACAAAGCCAACAAGGACCAGAGCCACCGGAACTTCTCCCCAAACTTCAGGGTGAGGAGCAGAGGAGGAGCAGAGGAGGAGGAAATGGCGTGTGTGTCCTCTCTCTGATTGGCTGCGGCGTGTGTGCCCTCTCTCTGATTGGCTGTGGCGTGTGTGTCCTCTCTCTGATTGGCTGCGGCGTGTGTGTCCTCTCTGATTGGCTGCGGCGTGTGTGCCCTCTCTCTGATTGGCTGTGATGTGTGTGTCCTCTTTCTGATTGGCTGTGACGTGTGTGTCCTCTCTCTGATTGGCTGTGATGTGTGTCCTCTCTCTGATTGGCTGTGATGTGTGTCCTCTCTCTGATTGGCTGTGATGTGTGTCCTCTCTCTGATTGGCTGTGGAGTGTGTGTCCTCTCTCTGATTGGCTGTGGCGTGTGTGTGTCCTCTCTCTGATTGGCTGTGGCGTGTGTGTGTCCTCTCTCTGATTGGCTGTGGCGTGTGTGTCCTCTCTCTGATTGGCTGTGGCGTGTGTGTCCTCTTTCTGATTGGCTATGATGTGTGTCCTCTCTCTCATTGGCTGTGGCGTGTGTGTCCTCTCTCTGATTGGCTGTGGCGTGTGCATCTTCTCTCTGATTGGCTGTGGCATGTATGTCCTCTCTCTGATTGGCTGTGGCGTGTTCATCTTCTCTCTGATTGGCTGTGGCGTGTATGTCCTCTCTCTGATTGGCTGTGGCGTGTGCATCTTCTCTCTGATTGGCTGTGGCATGTATGTCCTCTCTCTGATTGGCTGTGGCGTGTGCATCTTCTCTCTGATTGGCTGTGGCATGTATGTCCTCTCTCTGATTGGCTGTGGCGTGTTCATCTTCTCTCTGATTGGCTGTGGCGTGTGCTTCCTCTCTGATTGGCTGTCGTCTGTTGCAGGTGGAGTTGTTTTTCACGAAGCCGCAGGAGGACGGCGCCGGCTCAGACTCCGCCTCCTCGGTGACGCCGGACGCCAGCGACGCCGAGCTCGACCAGTACCACTACTCCGACACCACGGACTCGGACCAGGACCAGGACTCGGACCCGGAGCCGGACCTGGACCAGGACTATCAGGTGTCCCGGGTCTGACCTCGGGACTCGTGAGGCGGGACGATCGGGACCAACGCCGCGACCTCGCACGACCTCGGGCTCAAACCGCCGACTGTAAATATACGGGACAGAGGGAACGCGCCAACGCCAACGCCGCGCTGCACACAGGAAGTGTTCATGGGCGCAATCCGGCTCAACGGACTCTGGCTCCAGTTCAGTTTGTGTGGCTCCTCTCTGACCTTTGACCTCTGACCCGCTCAACAAGACCCTGGGGTTTGGACTTCAACATTTTGACCTAAATCTGAACATTCTTCTGTCGTGCGGCGTCCGTGGGTCAGACGTTCTTCTGTCTCCTCGTGGACTCGACTTTGGGACGAGATTTAAAACCAAATGTTGTTTTTTTGTGCTGAGTCATGTCTCTGCTGGTTGGACGTTCTGCTGAGGCGCAGAGGTGGAGCAGCTCAGATCAGGCTCACCACAGTAGCTTCAAACATCAGGATCTGCTCTGGCGCGTGGACTTTAAAACCCCAGAGGAGCACTCACAGATCACCACCTGATGATGTCACCAGGTGGGACAGAGTGTAAAAGTCAGCGGCACGTAAACGAAACAAAACACAACTCCAGTACGGACAGTATGGGGTTAAAGCCCCACTGCGGAACATTTCCTCACATTAGGGCAGGTTCTTTCTGGTTTTGTCATTTTCCTGTCGGTACGGCGGCGGCGTTTCGTACGGCGGCGGCGTTTCGTACGGCGACGTCAAGTTTGTGTTTTCCATGTTTCAGTCGGTGAAGCTAAACCTCCATAAGCTGCACTTGTGTTCGTCCGTCAGGATTCACTCAGATGCCCCGCCAGGTTTGCACTTTATACAAATCATTAAACTTAAAGCGGAGCTTTTCTCAACTGTCTCATGTTCTAATGTTCCTCATCACAAACCTGCCTCAAGACGCTCAAGAGTCCTCTATGTTTGAGTTATCTAGCGATCTCTCCTGGGTCCTATTAAAACCCTCCTCACAGTTCGGTGCAGTACGAGGCTCCGCCCACATGCTCCCACACCACAATCCTCCATAAAAACACAAAAACACGACACAAAACTGAACACAACAAACCTGATGTGTGTGCAGGAGTTTCATTAGTGCAATGCTCTGAAGGGGGAGGGACTCAGCACAGAGAGCAAAGGGAGGAGAGACTCAGAGCGACAAAAACAAAAGTGAAATTTATAAAACATGAAACATGTGATCTGATGTTTTGGGCAAATAAAACATTTTCAAACCAATAAAAGGAAAATGTTGAATGAATGAATGTGACGTGAGACAGAGCAAACCCTTCACACAGACCTCTACACACTGTGTCACACAGGCCTCTACACACTGTGTGGCACAGACCTCTACACACTGTGTGGCACAGACCTCTACACACTGTGTGGCACAGACCTCTACACACTGTCAGACCTTTTCACATCATCTGAAGTGTCTCTGTAGGTTTGAGGAACTTCAGAAGCTTCATGTTTTTCTGTGTAAATGTGTGTGTAAGTGTGTGTAAATGTGTGTAAGTGTGTGTGTGTGTGTGTGTGTAAATGTATGTAAATGTGTGTAAAGGATAAACATTCTTCATGAACAGTTTATCCACAACTATCAAGAAAAGAAAGAACAAAACTTAAAGGAAACAACGAGTCACATGAGTCACACAACAAACTCAACTCATGTTCTGCTCCTGGAGACTCTGACGTGTGTCTGTCTCCATGGAAACTGCTGAACATTCTCCCACAGACACACAGGCACAGGCCCCCCCCGACGCCACAGCAGACCAGTGTGACAGGTGCCCTCCTGTGTGTGTCAGGTGCCCTCCTGTGTGTGTCAGGTGCCTCGTGTGTGTCAGGTGTCTCTCGTGTGTGTCAGGTGTCTCTCGTGTGTGTCAGGTGTCTCTCGTGTGTGTCAGGTGTCCTCTCGTGTGTGTCAGGTGTCTCTCGTGTGTGTCAGGTGCCTCTCGTGTGTGTGTCAGGTGCTCTCGTGTGTGTCAGGTGCCTCTCGTGTGTGTCAGGTGCCTCTCGTGTGTGTCAGGTGCCTCTCGTGTGTCAGGCTCGTGTGTGTCAGGTGTGCCTCTCGTGTGTGTCAGGTGCTCTCGTGTGTCAGGTGTCAGGTGCCTCTCGTGTGTGTCAGGTGCTTCTCGTGTGTGGTGCCTCGTGTGTGTCAGTGTGTGTCTCGTGTGTGTCAGGTGCTCAGGTGTCGTGTGTGTCAGGTGCCTCGTGTGTGTCAGGTGTGTGTGTCAGGTGTCTCTCGTGTGTGTCAGGTGTCTCTCGTGTGTGTCAGGTGTCTCGTGTGTGTCAGGTGTCTCGTGTGTGTCAGTGTTCCTCGTGTGTGTCAGGTGCCTCGTGTGTGTCAGGTGCCTCTCGTGTGTGTCAGGTGTCCTCTCGTGTGTGTCAGGTGTCTCTCGTGTGTGTCAGGTGCTTCTCATGTGTGTCAGGTGCCTCTCGTGTGAACAGAGTGATGAAGATGAAGATGAGTGACAGTCGACGTTTATTTCAGAGACAGAGAAGTTTAAAAATAATAAAATAAATTTTTGTTCGTTGAGTTTCTTTATTTTTCTGGATTCTTCTGATTTTACAAACGTCTTGATAAAAACCCCAGGAGCTCGGAGCAGAGCCGCTGCTCCACGGCAGGAGGCGGAGTCAGTCTGTGGGAGGAGCCAGAGGGACACAGGAAGTGTCTGGGGAGTGGGAGGTCTGAGCTCGCTCAGTGTGATGTCATCAGTGTCTCTGTGAGCGTACTGAGCATGCTCAGTGTGATGTCATCAGTGTCTCTGTGAGCGTACTGAGCATGCTCAGTGCAGACTCGGCGCAGCCGTCGAAGTTGGAGTGAGTAAACGCGTCTCCGCCCAAAAGAAGCAGTGGCTCGTTCAAAACCGTCATGTGACCAGGACACCCAGGAACCGAGGACACGACCTGAGGACAAAGACGAGGAGGAAGACGAAGGACACATGAGCACAGGGTTTGAAACACCACAGACAGAACAACAGTGTGAGGGAAGCGTCTGGGGAGTGGGAGGACAGAGGAAGCGTCTGGGGAGAGGGAGGACAGAGGAAGCGTCTGGGGATGGGAGGACAGAGGAAATGTCTGGGGAGAGGGTGAAGCGTCTGGGGAGGGTGTGACCTGGGAGAATCTCCACTTGTGCGTCTTGATGCTGATTGGCTGAGGCAGTTGTGGGAGGAGCCTGTGCAGCTCGTCCAGGATCAGGGTCTGGACCTGGACTGGGTCTGAGTCCAGGTACTGGGACCCGAATGAGACGCTGGTGTGGACCACGAGACTCGGACCAAGATCTGACAGGTCTGAGAACAAAGACCAAGAACCAGGACTGAACCAGGACTGAACCAGGACTGAACCAGGACTGAACCAGGACTAAACCAGGACTGAACCAGGTCTAGATCAGGACTGACCTGTGTCTCGTTTGCGGTGCTCCACAGAGATGTACCTGATGCAGGGGCTGTTGGAGACGTACTTCAGGTCATGCTCCAGGTCCAGACTCGAGTCTCTGGAGAAGAACAGAACCAGAGCGAAACGAGACGAGTACCTGACCTGAGCCAAGAGCGCCCCCTGCTGCTCCGACAGACCTGGAAACACACAGAGAGGGTTACACATACTATTACTACTGCTACTACTACTACTACTACTACTACTACTACTACTACTACTACTACTACTACTACTACTACTACTACTACTACTACTACTACTACTACTGCTATCAGAGTACTGCAGTCTGAAGTTGTTTTAAATAAAAATCTAAAATGTTAAATATAAAACACTTTTCTGTTTGTGTCACATTTGTTCTCGTTTTTTCTCTCTGCAGTTTAAAGTATAAAGTACACAAAGAAGTACATGAAGAAGTACTGGCTCCTGTAGTACTCAGACCTGGCACCAGGTCGTCGTTCTGCAAGTCAAGTCAAGTCCCAAGTCAAATACAGTCAAGTCCCAGTCGAGTCTCGAGTCACACAAAGTCAAGTCCAAGTCGTCTGCTTTGAGCTTCAAGTCATTTCAAGTTTTTAACCAAAAAAAGTACCAAATATATTTTAGATTTTTGCAGTTTAAATGAATTTTAAACTAAATTCTATTTATATATATTTATTTATTTATATATTTATATATACTAAAGTCCTGGTTTATATTTGTGTGTTTATATAAAAGTCAGAACACAAAGAATTCACATTTAAAAGAGAAAAATAACAGATTTGATCATGAAGGATCAGGGTCTGTAGTTCCCTCTGTTTTACTACATAGTACTGTAAATACTGTAGTACTTTTGAGTATCACAGTACTTCAGTTTAATCCAAAGTACAAACAGAAGTGGCATTTATCAACTGTAAAGACAAAAATATTTATATCAAGTCTCAAGTCCTAAAATTAGTGACTCAAGTCATGACTCAACTCAAGTCCCACCTCTGGCAGAACTGCTGCTTTAGTCCTGGTCTGGTCCAGGTTTAGTCTCGTTTTAGTCCTGTTTTTGTCCTGGTCCTGTTTCTGGTCTAGTTTTGGTTCAGTCCTGGTCCTGGTCCAGTCCTGGTCTAGTCCTGTTTCAGTCCTGGTCCTGGTCCTGGTCCTGGTTCAGTCCTGGTCCAGTCCTGGTCTAGTTCTGGTTCAGTCCTGGTCCTGGTCCTGGTTCAGTCCTGGTCCTGGTCTTGGTCTTGAGGGGGATTTGATGAGTCTAAAAATAGCCCGACAGGAAATGGGCGCTGTCTCGTCTCATCCAATCACACGGCTCCGTCACACACACCTCGCTCTCGGCCAATCAAAGCGCAGCAGTGTGACATCATCAGGGGGGGGGTCCGAGAGGGTCAAGTTACTTTGACTACACAGAACTGTAGTACTCATAATACTGCATTGGATACACAGACTCATCCAGACCTGGTTCAGTCCTGGTCTAGTCCTGGTCTAGTCCTGGTTTAGTGGGTAAACGGTGCCCTCTGCTGGTCATGTTCTAACACTGCAGGGTTCAGAGTCTGGACCAGGACTAAACCAGGACTAAATCAGGTCTAAACCAGAACTAAACCAGGACTAAACCAGGTCTAAATCAGGTCTAAACCAGAACTAAACCAGGTCTAAACCAGGACTAAACCAGAACTAAACCAGAACTAAACCAGGACTAAACCAGAACTAAACCAGGACTAGACCAGGCGTGGTCCTCACAGCGGCTCACGTCTCCTCGGAGTTGGAGGATTTGGGGCACAGGCATCGTCAGGACGACGGCGTCGAAAGACTCGGTCTGACCCTCAGAAAACTCCACCTCCCATGATGCACCACGGAGACACACAGAGGTCACATGACGCAGCAGGTGAACCTCAGCTCCTGCACACACAAACACACACACACAAACACACACACACAAACATACACACAGTTTCTGAATATTCAACATCAACATTCAAAGGGGGAGCACCTGTCGGGTGAGTACCTGTCAGGGGGAGCACCTGTCGGGTGAGTACCTGTCGGGTGAGTACCTGTCGGGGGAGCACCTGTCAGGGGGAGTACCTGTCAGGGGGAGCACCTGTCGGGTGGAGTACCTGGTCGGGGTGAGTACCTGTCGGGGGAGGCACCTGTCGGGTAGTACCTGTCGGGTGAGTACCTGTCAGGGAGTACCTGTCAGGGGGAGTACCTGGAGTCTGTCGGGTGGAGTACCTGTCGGGGGGAGTACCTGTCGTCGGGGAGAACCTGTCGGGGAGTACCTGTCAGGGGAGTACCTGTCGGGGAGTCTGTGGGGGAGTACCTGTCGGGGGGGTGTACCTGTCAGGGGAGTACCTGTCGGGGGAGTACCTGTGGGGGGAGTACCTGTCAGGGGGAGTACCTGTCAGGGGAGTACCTGTCGGGGGAGTACCTGTCAGGGGAGTACTGTCAGGGAGTACCTGTCGGGGGAGTACCTGTCAGGGGGAGTACCTGTCAGGGGGAGTACCTGTCAGGGGGAGTACCTGTCGGGGAGTACCTATCAGGGGGAGTACCTGTCAGGGGGAGTACCTGTCGGGGGAGTACGTGTCAGGGGGAGTACCTGTCGGGGGGAGTACCTGTCCGTGGGGGGGTGTACCTGACTGTTGGAGGAAGTGTTTGACGATGTGGCTGGTTCCTTTGGGGCTGATGAAGTTCTCAGACTCATCTTTTTGCTGCAGACCCTCCACAGAGCAGCTCATGGGCACCAGGACCCCCGACGAGACCAGCTCCTCGTACAGACTACACACAAACACCACTGAAACTGGACTGGACCAGGACCAGACCAGGACCGAACCAGGACCGAACCAGGACCAGACCAGGACCAGACCAGGACCGGACCAGGACCAGACCAGGACCAGGATTGAACCAGGACCAAGACCAGACCAGCTCCTCGTACAGACTACACACAAACACCACTGAAACTGGACTGGACCAGGACCAGACCAGGACCGAACCAGGACCGGACCAGGACCGGACCAGGACCGGACCAGGACCGGACCAGGACCGGACCAGGACCAGGACTGACCCTCCTTTAAATCTTGGTTTATAGGCTGATGTCTAAACAGAGACATAAAAGTGTCGTCGCATCTTCACTTTTTATTCTGTGTTTAGACGAGAGTTTTCAGGAGTAAATCTGCTGCACACGGAGACACAAAAGTGTGTGTCAGGTGTGTGTGTGTGGGTGTCAGGTGTGTGTGTGTCAGGTTTGTGTGTCAGTTTGTGTGTCCTGAATGTGTGTGATATAAACTCGTACACGACCTGAGCACGTGACCAGAGTTTTGTGTCTTGGTGTCGATGGAAACTCTACGGCGGAGAATATTCAACTTTTCCAGTCTGGAGGAGGTTTCACATTTTTGTGTTTTTAATCCCAAAAACTTCGTCACCGTCTAAACGAAACACACTTCACACCAAATATTCTGTCGTTTTTACACGTGTCCTCACACACACACATACACACACAGGTGTGTGTTCTGACCTGTGGTGTTTGTTCTTGTAGAACTTCGTTGCTGTGATGTACTGAGCTCCCAGATCTGCTCCAACACACTCCGACACACGAGACGTGGCCATGCGACCTCCTGCACACACACACACACACAACACGTTACACATGTCACACACGTTACACACACACATGTTACACATGTTATACACACACACGTTACACATGTTATACACACACACTTACACATGTTATACACACACGTTACACATGTTATACACACACATGTTACACATTACACACACACACACACACACGTTACACATGTTATACACACACACGTTACACATGTTACACACACACGTTACACATTACACACACACACACACACACGTTACACATGTTACACACACACGTTACACATTACACACACACACGTTACACATTACACACACACGTTACACATGTTATACACACACACATGTTACACGTTCACACACACACACACACGTTACACATGTTACACACACACACACACACACACATGAACCGTCAACACTGACCAGAAAACAACTTTAAAGCTGCACTGTGGGACTTTTCTGGTGGAGGCTCCATCAGATGGTCGTCTCCATGGAGACGTTCTCGCGCTGTCCTGAATGTTCCAGTGTGACCTCACAGGCACAATGTCTGTTTTTCTCTGTGTTTTTCACTCTAAATCCTTCTGTAAATGAATAAACGTAAAGTGGAGCTGTTTAAAGTCACACTGTGGAACATTCCAGACAGAACAGTGACGTCTCCATGGAAACGAGCAGGTGACAGACACCCGACCAAAAAAGTGTGTGACATGTTTCATGATTCTGTCTGTGATTTAATCTGCTCATAAAACTGTTATAAATATAAATTATAGTTTCACAGAAATCCACAAACAAGTCCTGAAGAAAAAACTACAAAACTACAGGAAGTACAGAGTCCCACACTGATGACGTCACGCTGATGACGTCTGATGACGTCACGCTGATGACGTCACGCTGATGACGTCACGCTGATGACGTCACTGGGAGATTTCTGTCCAAAAGTTTGACGCAATTCACACAAAAAACAAATTTTTATGACACTTTAAATCTGATTTAAACTAAATGAATACAAAAAGTATTTTTATTTGTGTAATAATAATTAGAGGAGTTTGATGGTGTACGTGATGGTTGCTATGGTAACATGGAATTCCCTCATGATCCAACCAGGACGTCAAATGTGAACCTAAAAAAATGACCAAACCGCAGTGACTCCCTGCACATGCGCCTCACACGACACGAAAGTCCTGGACTGGGACTTGGACTGTGACCCTCTTTCTCTCTCTCTTTTTTTTAAAATTTTTTTTATTGACTGGTTATACATACACACATATACAGTATTGTACAACACACACACACATATACACACACACACGCACACAGACACACACACACGCACACACATACACACACACACATATACACACACATACACACGCACACACACAGACACACACACATATACACACATGCACACACATACACACACACACGCACACACATACACACACACACATATACACACACACACACATACACACACATACACACACACACACACACACACACACATACACACACACATACACACGCACACACACAGACACACACACATATACACACATGCACACACATACACACACACACACGCACACACATACACACACACACACACATATACACACACACACACACATATACACCACACATATACACACGCATACACACAGACACACACACATATACACACGCACACACACACACGCACAGACACACACAGACACACACGCACAGACACACACACATGCATGCACACGCACACACACGTGCACACACACACACACACAGACACACACACACACACACACATTCAGATTCACTGAAAACAAGAAAAAAATAATAATAAACTTGGACCGTGTCCCTCTTTTTGTTGTTGTTGTTTCTTTTCTTTTTGGACCGTGTCCTTCTCGAGTAACACATATTCCACTTGTTTACATCATGAGCTGCACATGCGCAGAAAGCCCCGTGCCCCGTTCACCTCACGTGCCCCCCGTGCCCTCGCGCCCTCCTCACCTGTGTCCCCCACACGCACGCACGCGCGCGCACTCACCTGTCCCGCGGGCTTTGTCCCACACCTGGATGTGCACGCGGTTCTGCAGCGCGCGCCTCAGCAGACATGCGCAGAGGCTCCCGGTGAGTCCGGCCCCGACGATCAGCACGCGCAGCATTCTGGACCGAACCGGGCCCGGGGACAGTCCTGGGTCAGACCGGGTCTTTGAGGGTCTGGGTCTGGTTCTGGTCCGGTTCTGGAGCGGGTTCGGTCTGTGTCCGGGAGTCTGAGGTTATGAAAGCGCCGACAGTCACCGGAAACAGACCCGGAGCGCGAGGATCCGGCGGGACTGTCACAATAAAAGCCCCGTAGCACGAGGATCCGGCGGGACTGTCATAATAAAAGTCCCGGAGCAGTTCACAGCGGGAGTCTCATGCGCATGCGCACAGAGTGTTTCGGGTTATTGTTTTTTAAAGTATTTATCGTGGTATTTCTCCTCAGTATTTACAGAATAAACGTTTACGGGAGATGACGCGCTCGTGCACGCAGGGGAGGAAAGAGAGTAATGCAAATCTGTACTCAAGTAAAAGTACAGTTACATGACTAAAAATGTACTCAAGTACAAGTATTTTATTTGTAGTAAAAGTAAAAAAGTACACATGAAAAATGCTACTCACAGCACCATCACGCACACGCACTAGTTCCATGTAAGTTTTTATTTTCACAGAAAAATGTCACTAAAAAAGACTTGTCTTCTTCTTCTTCTCCTTCTCTCACTCTGTGGTTAAACTCCTGCTGCAGCCACAGTTGCCCTGGGGCAGACTGACAGACATGTGACTGCCAATCTGCACCATCGGCTCCTCCCACCACCATCATCACCACACGCCACTTTAGACTAAACCACAGTTTTTGCTGCGGCTCCTCGTGACGTTTATCACATTTAAACGTCAAACGCCTTTGATCAGTGTTTCTGCTCATTTACTCGCCTGAGCTCTGTCCAATCAGAGCAGGAGTTCACAATCACATGGTCACGACTCAGTTAGAAGTTTGTGTTTAAAATACCACGGAAAGAATTCAGAAACCCTAAAAATGTACTCAGTTATTTATAAACGTTACTTTTTACTCCTGTTAATATAAAATCTGTTATTTTCGACATTTGAGATGAAGTAAATCATTTAAATTTCTCATAAATATATATTTTCCTCAAACTAAACCCGCAGACTGTGTAAAAGAACCGAACTAAACCCATAAACTTTATTAAACTAAACCTTTAATCTGTGACTAAAGCTCATCTCCAGCAGCTTTACAGACCAATCAGAGCGCACGGCGACCTGACGTCATTGCGCTGTTTCCGGGTTGCTTCCGGGTTGCTGCCTGATCCGTGTCACAGCGCGAGGAGCGGCGCCGGTGAGTTTCCCTCAAAAACAAACTTCAAACTGAAATATTTTTATTTTTCTCTGTTGTAAAGTTGTGAGAAAAGTTAGAGCGGGTTTGAGTTTAACTCCAGCATCATGACACGTGTGAAGAATGTTTAAAAGTGACTTTAAAGTCAGAATAAAAGTGTATAACAGCGCGAAGAGGAGATGGCAATAATAAACAAAACTTTATGAAAATGTGAAAATAATCTTTATAAATCCTGACACACGCAGAACTAACGTGTGAGAAAGTGTCATTAATGTCAAAGTTTAAATTTGAGTCCAAATGAGTGTAAAGTACACGGAGTACACAGAGTACACGGAGTACACGAACGGAGGAAAAAGTCACAAACTCTGATTTACAGAATTTTGAGAAAATGTGTATTTTTATTAAATGTCAAATAAAGACAAACTGGGACAATGTGAAACGTGACAGTCACGGGTTGAAACGAGGCTGAGCTCCGTGTTTAAAGAGTTTATCTGTCTGATATAAAGACTTTAGTCTGAGACAAACAGAGAAAACCACAGAGTTGTTTTAAGGTGACTCCGCAGAGAAAATCTGGACTTTGTGTTTGTGTTTTGATCCGTTTGGTTTCAGAGTGTGAACTCTCAGCTCTGTGTGGAAACAAACTCTAACATCTGCAAAGAAACATGTTTATGGACAAAGGAAAAATCAATTGAGCAATTTTAGTCTTGAGCAGAAGTGAAGAAGCAAAAGTGACAAACACGTTTGACCAAAATAAACTTTTGTCCCTTTGACAACTGAATTTCTCTGTTTTTGTCATGGATTCGACCTGGACGACTGAGAGATTTTACACATCGACAGTTTAAAAATGTAATGTAATCAACTTTCAGCCAAAGAGCCCAACAGAACTGTGTTTTCTCTAAATGTGTTAAGTATTTTCAAATCTAATTCCAGGTTTGATTTATTCAAATCTAAAATGAGATTTTATTTACTCAAACACTAAATAAAATCCAAAATCTCACTGATGTTTTAGGGCCTAAAATGTCGATAAAAGACACGACATTTAAACTTGTCTCTGTTTGTTTTTACATGAAACTTTTTCATTTACGTGAAAACGTCACTTTGATTAAAATGAAGAAACAACAGGACGAAAAAACAAAGTGACAACAGACAGGACCAGATTGACAGGACCAGACTGACAGGACCAGACTCACTGACAGGTTCAGACTCGGTGACAGGCTCAGTGACAGTTTCAGGGTCCTGAACTTTCACTTCTGTAAAAAATCTGCCAGTACATACATATATTTTTGAGTCACATGAGTCTGCGGCGTGTGACTGTGACTCTGTGATTCTGTGATTCTGTGATTCGGGCGAGTGGACATTTGTTTGTTTGTTATTTGTACAGATCATTTATTTAACTTTTACTTAACACACATATATATTTTTTATGTTGCATATTTTGGTGTTTCGTCTGTCGATAAAACGATAAAGTCAAACTCATCAGGGACATGTCATGTTTTTCTTTCTCTTCATGTTATCGACCAAAACTAAATGTGGACGTTTGCTGCAGATTTAAGGTCGATATCAGACACACTAAAGAGTACAAATATTTCGTCTCTCCTGGTTCATGTTCTCGATGTTCCGCCTCAGTCTGTTCAGTCTGTTCGGTGTTTGACTCTGAGTCGAGTTTCTGTGGCGACTGTGACGTTCTTAAACTCGAGTCGTGTTTTTCTGCAGAGATGAAGCTCCTCGGTCTGGTCTGGGTTTTCCTCTGCGTCTCTGTGATCCTCTGCACCAAACCTGCTCCTCCTTTGGACCCTGAAGTCCACATGAACATCGTGAGTCCTGCTTCAGACCAGCTTCAGACCGGTTTTAGTCCTGGTTTAGTGACCTGAGGCTCTTTGCTGGAGTCTTCATGGAGCACACAGACTTTGTGAATGCGTACGGGGGCGGGGCTGTGGGGGCGGGGCTGTGTACAGGGGGCGGGGCTTTGTTTTGACCTGGTTTCTCTGTGTCAGTCGGAGATCATCAGGAGGTGGGGTTTTCCGTCGGAGGAGCACGAGGTGCAGACGGAGGACGGGTACATCCTCTCCCTGAACCGCATCCCTCACCCCAGCAGAGGGCGCACTGGAGGTGAGCTCCACCTACACCACCCACCGACCAATCACACAGCTTCACCTACACCCACCGACCAATCACAGAGCTCCACCTACACCACCCACCGACCAATCACACAGCTTCACCTACACCCACCGACCAATCACAGAGCTCCACCTACGCCACCCACTGACCAATCACACAGCTCCACCTACACCACCCATCGACCAATCACAAAGCTCCACCTACACCCACTGACCAATCACAGAGCTCCACCTCCACCATCCACAGCCACCACCGACCAATCTCACACAGCTTCCACCCACCCACCGAATCACAGAGCTCTTCACCTACCACCCACCGACCAATCACAGAGCTCCACCTACACCCACTGACCAATCAGAGCTCCACCTACGCCACCCACTGACCAATCACACAGCTCCACCTACACCCATCGACCAATCACAAAGCTCCACCTACACCCACCGACCAATCACAGAGCTCCACCTACGCCACCCACTGACCAATCACACAGCTCCACCTACACCCATCAACCAATCACAAAGCTCCACCTACACCCACTGACCAATCACAGAGCTCCACCTACACCACCCACCGACCAATCAGAGCTCCACCTACGCCACCCACCGACCAATCACAGAGCTCCACCTACGCCACCCACCGACCAATCACAGAGCTTCAACTACACCCACCGACCAATCACAGAGCTCCAACTACACCCACCGACCAATCACGGAGCTCCACCTACACCACCCACCGACCAATCACGGAGCTCCACCTACAGCCAGAATATTCTAGAATATTTTTAATTTTGTCTGTGTGTGGTGCTGGTTCCTCTCTGGTTCCTCTGTTTCAGTCGCGGTTCCTCTGTTTCATTCGCGGTTCCTCTGTTTCATTCGCGGTTCCTCTGTTTCAGTCGCGGTTCCTCTGTTTCAGTCGCGGTTCCTCTGTTTCATTCGCGGTTCCTCTGTTTCAGTCGCGGTTCCTCTGTTTCAGTCGCGGTTCCTCTGTTTCAGTCGCGGTTCCTCTGTTTCAGTCGTGGTTCTTCTCTTGCAGTGGTTCTCCTTCAGCACGGTCTTCTGGCCGCTGGGAGTAACTGGGTGACGAATCCTCCAGACTCTTCGTTGGGCTTCTTCTTGTCTCAGAGCGGCTTCGACGTTTGGATCTCCAACAGTCGAGGAAACACCTGGTCCAGGAAACACTCGAGTCTGAACCCGCATCAGGACCAGTTCTGGGCCTTCAGGTACGGGACGTTTCAGTCACCGTGAGATGTTCTTAAACGTTTCAGTCACGAAGAGATGTTTCAGTCATGATGAGATGTTCTTAAACGTTTCGGTCACGATGAGATGTTTCAGTCATGATGAGATGTTCTTAAACGTTTCGGTCATGATGAGATGTTTCAGTCATGTTCTTAAATGTTCTTAATGTTTCAGTCATGATGAGATGTTCTTAAATTCATGTTCATTGAGATGTTTCAGTCATGATGAGATGTTCTTAAACGTTTCAGTCATGATGAGATGTTTCAGTCATGATGAGATGTTCTTAAACGTTTCAGTCATGATGAGATGTTCTTAAACGTTTCAGTCACGATGAGATGTTTCAGTCATGATGAGATATTCTTAAATGTTTCAGTCATGATGAGATGTTCTTAAACGTTTCAGTCATGATGAGATGTTTTTAAACGTTTCAGTCATGATGAAATGTTTTTAAACGTTTCAGTCATGATGAGATGCTCTTAAACGTTTCAGTCATGATGAGATGTTTTTAAACGTTTCAGTCATGATGAGATGTTTTTAAACGTTTCAGTCATGATGAATGATGTTTCAGTTTTGATGTCATGATGTTTTTAAACGTTTCAGTCATGATGAGATGTTTTTAAACGTTTCAGTCATGATGAGATGTTTTTAAACGTTTCAGTCATGATGAGATGTTTCAGTCATGATGAGATGTTTTTAAACGTTTCAGTCATGATGAGATGTTTTTAAACGTTTCAGTCATGATGAGATGTTTTTAAACGTTTCAGTCATGATGAGATGTTTTTAAACGTTTCAGTCATGATTAGATGTTTTTAAACGTTTCAGTCATGATGAGATGGCGCTGAAGGATCTTCCCGCCGTCATAAACTACGTCCTGAACGTCACAGAGCAGCAGCAGCTTCACTACATCGGACACTCGCAGGGGACAACCATCGGTCAGACTCCCTCTCCCCAGACGCTTCTTCTGTCCTCTGTCCTCCCTCCGTCCTCTGTCCTCCCTCCGTCCTCTGTCCTCCCTCTGTCCTCTGTCCTCCCTCTGTCCTCTGTCCTCTGTCCTCCTGTCCTCCCTCCTCTGTCCTCTGTCCTCCCTCCGTCCTCTGTCCCTCCCTCTGTCCTCCGTCCTCTGTCCTCCTGTCCTCCCTCTCTGTCCTCTGTCCTCCCTCCGTCCTCTGTCCTCCCTCTGTCCTCTGTCCTCCCTCCGTCCTCTGTCCCCCCTCTGTCCTCCCTCCGTCCTCTGTCCTCCCTCCGTCCTCTGTCCTCCTCTGTCCTCCCTCTGTCCTCTGTCCTCCCTCCGTCCTCTGTCCTCTGTCTCCTCCGTCTCTGTCCTCTGTCCTCCCTCCGTCCTATGTCCTCCCTCCGTCCTCTGTCCTCCCTCCGTCCTCTGTCCTCCCTCTGTCCTCCCTCTGTCCTCATGTCTCTCGTCCTCTGTCCTCTGTCCTCATGTCTCTCGTCCTCTCGTCCTCAGGTTTCATGGCGTTCTCGTCCCTCCCGTCTCTCGCCGCTAAAGTTCGGTTGTTCGTGGCGTTGGCGCCGGTCGCCACGGTGGATTTCACCCAGAGCCCGATGACCAAACTGTCCGTGCTGCCCGAGATCGCCATCTGGGTCTGACGCACTTTCACTTTCACTTTCACTTCAGGTCGTCTGCACCTCCTGTAAACACGGCGCTCTGTGGGGCTGTGACGCTAACTGAGGCACTGCTCTGTCTGAAGCCCTGTTAGTCTTTAATCTGACCTGCCTGACCTGACTGACCTGAGCTCCGGCAGGCTCAGGGTCTCGGCGCGCGTTAAACCCGCCGCCATCTTGGTGCTGGGGCTCCGTGGTCACAAACGCACGACCTGAGTCCAAAGACAGGATTCATAAATCACAAAATAAAGTTGGACTTGATCATGATTCAACAACGAGGAGATTTTATTCACCGACTGATCGTGTCTCTGAACATTTAGTTTGACTCAAGTCTGAAGTCACGAAAATACGACGGAGTATAAGGGTCACATAAAAAAAAAGAAAAAATGCTGGCGCTACGAGAATAAAGTCGTAACATTTCGACATTAAATTCGTAATATTATGAGAATAAAGTCGAAGCCAGAAAAAGTCGCAATTTTACAAGAATAAAGTCGTAATTTTACAAGAATAAAGTCATAATTATATGAGAATAAAGTCGTAGTCAAAATAAAGTGGTAATATTAGGAGAATATCGGCTGCTCGTGGAGAATGGAGAATTTGGAGCATTTTGTAAAGGAGAAGAATCCGTGTATTATTCGTTCATTCGACTGAACAAGGACTGAATCAGGACTAAACCAGGTCCGGAACCAAACCAGAAAGACCAGGATTGAGACCGGGACCAGACCAGGACTGAAAACGGTTTAGTCCTGGTTTAAGTCATGGAAATGGGAAATGGCGTTTCCGTGACTTTAAAATGCGATGTGGGACTACTGTGCCGCATACGGACTGAACCAGGACTGAACCAGGACTAAACTGTTTTCAGTCCTGGTCTGGTCTCGGACCTGGTTCAGTCCTGGTTCAGTCCTGGTTCAGTCCTGGTTCAGTCCTGAGGCGCAAATAATGAAGAAAATTGTTTATTTTTTTTTATTTTTGGTTTTATATTGAAAAACAAGGTTTTTCTTCTGCCACATTTTTCACTTTGACTTTGATTTTATTACGACTTTATTCTCATAATATTACAACTTTAATGTCAAAATGTTACGACTTTATTCTCGTAGTGCCAGCATTTTATTTTTTTTTATCTGACCCTTATACTCTGTCGTACGAAAAACACTGACGCAGCAGTAAAACGTCCACAAGTCTCCGGTTTGTCCCGTGAGATCAGATCAAACACGTTTCAGAGACTTTATTTATTTAAACTTTTGTTCTTCTTTTATATTTTTTTTTGTTCTGGATTCAGTGTTTCATCAAAACTGTGATTAAACTTTTATTTGAATAAGAAAAACTTTAACATCACAAATGTGAAAAGAAACGAAAACCTGCAGACGACCACAGAAACATGAACTCACTCTGTCTCCACGACAACTGCTCAACATTCCACCACGCACACACATGCAGGACACCCCCACCGCACACAATCACTGTTATCATGTTCTACTGACAGGCGAGCGACAGGCGAGCGACAGGCGAGCGCGATTGACAGGCGAGAGACAGGTGACAGGACAGAGCGACAGGACAGGTGAGCGACAGGCGAACAGGCGACAGTGACAGGTGAGAGACACGAGAGACAGGCGAGTGACAGGCGAGAGACAGGCGAGCGACAGTGAGCGACAGGCGAGTGACAGTACAGGCGAGAGACAGGCGAGAGACAGGCGAGAGACAGGCGAGACAGGTGAGCGACAGAGACAGGTGAGAGACAGGCGAGTGACAGGCGAGTGACAGGCGAGTGACAGGTGAGAGACAGGCGAGTGACAGGCGAGTGACAGGTGACAGGCGAGCGACAGGCGAGCGAGCGACAGCGAGAGACAGGCGAGTGACAGAGTGACAGGCGAGTGACGACAGGCGAGCGACAGGCGACAGGCGAGACAGTGAGGACAGGCGAGCGACAGGCGAGTGACAGGCGAGCGACAGGCGAGCGACAGGCGAGAGACAGATGAAGGAGCAATGCACCAAAGAGAGTTAGTTGATAGTTTTGACTTTAAAAACCCAGAGGAGTCGCCCCTGGTGACATCAGCAGGTGGAGCGGCGTGTTGTGAGGACAGGGTTAAAGCTCCAGTGCGGGACATTCAGACGTACTGACGGAGGCGTGTGATTGGCAGGACCTGTTCGGGAGGCGGGACTTCCTGCCTCAGAGTCACGTGATCGAGTGGTTTGCAGAACACGTGTGTCCGGAGCACAGCGCCCTCTGCGGGAACCTGCTGTTTGTGCTCTGCGGCTTCAACCAGGACAACCTCAACATGGTACTACAAATACTGCAGTACTACTACTACTACTGCAGTACTACTCAACCAGGACAACCTCAACATGGTACTGCTACTACTGCAGTACTGCTACTACTGCAGTACTGCTACTACTGCAGTACTACTACTACTGCAGTACTACTCAACCAGGACAACCTCAACATGGTACTGCTACTACTGCAGTACTACTACTACTGCAGTACTACTACTACTGCAGTACTACTCAACCAGGACAACCTCAACATGGTACTACAAATACTGCAGTACTGCTACTACTGCAGTACTACTACTACTGCAGTACTACTACTACTGCAGTACTACTACTACTACTGCAATACTACTACTACTGCAGTACTACTCAACCAGGACAACTTCACGATGATACTACAAATACTACAGTACTACTACTACTACTACTACTACTACTACTACTACTACTACTACTACTACTACTACTAGTCAAGTATTACTGTAATACTGCTACTGCTGGTTTAGTCCTGGTTTAGTTCTGGTTTAGTCCTGGTTTAGTTCTGGTTTAGTCCTGGTTTAGTCCTGGTTCTGACCTGGTTTTCCTTCCAGACTCGGACTCCTGTTTACACGACTCATTGTCCTGCAGGAACCTCCGTCCAGAACATGGTCCACTGGTCCCAGGTCAGTGTGACAGGTGCATGTGTGACAGGTGCTCATGTGTGACAGGTGCTCATGTGTGACAGGTGCATGTGTGTCAGGTGCATGTGTGACAGGTGCATGTGTGACAGGTGCTCATGTGTGTCAGGTGCTCATGTGTGACAGGTGCTCATGTGTGACAGGTGCTCATGTGTGACAGGTGCATGTGTGACAGGTGCATGTGTGACAGGTGCTCATGTGTGACAGGTGCTCATGTGTGACAGGTGCATGTGTGACAGGTGCATGTGTGCATGTGTGTCAGGTGCTCATGTGTGACAGGTGCTCATGTGTGACAGGTGCTCATGTGTGACAGGTGCTCATGTGTGACAGGTGCTCATGTGTGACAGGTGCATGTGTGACAGGTGCTCATGTGTGTCATGTGTGTCAGGTCATGTGTGACAGGTGCATGTGTGACATGTGTGTCAGGTGCATGTGTGTCAGGTGCATGTGTGACAGGTGCATGTGTGACAGGTGCTCTCTCTCTCTCTTGTTTCAGGCGGTTAAAGGCGGGAAACTCAGAGCCTTCGACTACGGAGCCAAAGAAAACATGAAACACTACAACCAGGTCTGACCTCTGACCTCCTCTGACCTCTGACCTCCTCCTCTCACGTTCTTCCTCTCACATTCTTCCTCCTCTCATCCTCCTCTCACGTTCTTCCTCCTCTCACGTTCTTCTTCCTCTCACATTCTTCCTCCTCTCACGTTCTTCTTCCTCTCACGTTCTTCCTCCTCTCTCACGTTCTTCCTCCTCTCACGTTCTTCCTCCTCTCACGTTCTTCTTCCTCTCACGTTCTTCTTCCTCTCACGTTCTTCTTCCTCTCACATTCCTCCTCCTCTCACGTTCCTCCTCCTCACGTTCTTCCTCCTCTACGTCTCTCACTTCTTCCTCCTCTCACGTTTCCTCCTCTCACGTTCTTCCTCTCACGTCTTCTTCCTCTCTCTCCTCCTCTCACGTTCTTCTTCCTCTCACGTTCCTCCTCCTCTCACGTTCTTCCTCCTCTCACGTCCTCTCTCCTTCTCTCTCCTCCTCTCACTCTCCTCCTCTCACGTCTCTCTCCTCTCCGTTCTCCTCCTCTCACGTTCTTCTTCCTCTCACGTTCTTCTTCCTCTCACGTTCTTCCTCCTCTCACGTTCCTCCTCTCTCTCCTCCTCTCACGTTCTTCCTCCTCTCACGTTCTTCCTCCTCTCACGTTCTTCTTCCTCTCACGTTCTTCCTCCTCTCACGTTCTTTCTTCCTCTCACGTTCTTCTTCCTCTCACGTTCTTCTTCCTCTCACGTTCTTCTTCCTCTCACGTTCTTTCTCCTCTCACGTTCTTCCTCGTCTCACGTTCTTCCTCCTCTCACGTTCCTCGTCTCACGTTCCTCCTCGTCTCCTCCTCTTGATCAGACGTCTCCTCCGGTTTATGACGTGAGGAGGATGAAGGTTCCTACAGCTCTGTTTTCTGGAGGACACGACACTTTGGCCGATCCCAAAGACGTGGCTCTGCTCGTGCCCCAGGTCAGAACTAAAATACTACAAATACTACTACTACTACTGCTACTGCTACTACTACTACTACTACTACTACTACTACTACTACTACTACTACTACTAAACTACTACTACTACTACTACTACTGCAACTACTACTACTGCAACTACTACTACTACTACTACTACTCTACTACTACTACTACTACTGTCTACTACTACTCTACTACTACACTGCTACTACTACTACTACTACTACTACTACTACTACTACTACTACTACTACTACTACTACTACTACTACTACTACTACTACTACTACTACTACTACTACTACTACTACTACTACTACTACTACTACTACTACTGCTACTACTGCTACTACTACTACTACTGCTACTACTACTACTACTACTACTACTACTACTACTACTACTACTGCTACTACTACTACTACTGCTACTACTACTACTACTACTACTACTACTGCTACTACTACTACTACTACTACTGCTACTACTACTACTACTACTACTACTACTACTACTACTACTACTACTACTACTACTACTACTACTACTACTACTACTACTACTACTGCTACTACTACTACTACTACTACTACTACTACTACTACTACTACTACTACTGCTACTACTACTACTACTACTACTACTACTGCAACTACTACTACTGCAACTACTACTACTGCTACTACTACTACTACTGCACTACTACTACTACTACTACTGCAACTACTACTACTACTACTGCTACTACTGCAACTACTACTACTGTACTACTACTACTACTACTACTACTACTACTACTGCTACTACTGCAACTACTACTACTGCAACTACTACTACTACTGCAACTACTACTACTACTACTACTACTACTACTACTACTGCAACTACTGCTACTGCTACTACTACTACTGCTACTACTACTACTGCTACTACTACTACTGCTACTACTACTACTACTACTGCAACTACTACTACTACTACTACTGCAACTACTACTACTACTGCAACTACTACTACTACTACTGCTACTACTACTGACTACTACTACTACTGCTACTACTACTACTACTACTACTACTACTGCAACTACTACTACTACTACTACTGCAACTACTACTACTACTACTACTGCACTACTACTACTACTACTACTACTGCAACTACTACTACTACTACTACTGCAACTACTACTACTACTACTACTGCTACTACTACTACTACTACTACTACTGCAACTACTACTACTACTACTACTGCAACTACTGCTACTACTACTACTACTGCTACTACTACTACTACTACTACTACTAACTACTGCAACTACTACTACTACTACTACTACAACTACTACTACTACTACTACTCCTCCTCCTCTGACTCTGCCTCTTCTGTGTCTCGTGTCTTTCAGATTTCTAACTTGGTTTTTCACCTGCACCTGGAGACTTGGGAGCATCTGGACTTCATCTGGGGCCTGGACGCTAAAGACAAGATGTTCCCCTCCATCCTCAAACTACTGCAGACCTACTGAGACCAGGACCAGGACCGGGACCAGGACCAGACCTACTGAGACCAGGACTGAGACTGGCACCAGACCAGGACCAGACCAGGACCAGACCTACCGAGACCGGAATTGAGACTAGACCTACGGAGACGGGACCGAGACAGAGACCGGGACTGAAACCGGGACTTGCTGAGGATCCGTTTACCAAGTGAAAAGTCTTTTTTTTTTAAAGTGTTTTTGTTGAAGAGTCGAGACCAAAATGTGACGTCACAATTTACCACTGTTGGATTTTTCACTTTTATTTCCGTTTTATTTTGGTTTTATTTCCGTTTTATTTCCGTGTTGCTCAGTGTTCGGATCTGAACATGTTTTTATTTTTGCTCTGATTTTAAGTTTAAATTTGTGTAAAAGCAAAAATCACTGTTTTTTATTTTATCACAAATTAAACATCTGAGAAATTTATGTGAAAGTGTTTTTATCCTCCCAAAGACCTAAACTGGAACTAAGCCGGGTCTAAGCCGGGTCTAAGCCGGGACTAAACCAGGTCTATAAACAGCCTTTTATTTTCAGATTTTTTATTCTCTTTGGGAAAAGCTGAAATGCAACAGAGCGAGAGCGAGAGCGCCTCCACAGGAACAACAGAGAATTACAAACAAACATTTTACAAAAAAGAAAATCAGCAGCAAAACAAAAGTTTAAACCGTTTCCCTCGGGGGGTTTTCTCCATCACACGTCACATATTTAAATCTCCATGTTTCTTTTATTGCTCTGAAAATGGTTTATTCGCCCAAAACAACAGATTATCATGTTTTAAAAGGTTCTCTCCTCCCTTGGCTCTCTGTGCTGAGTCGCTCCCCCTTCAGACGGTCGCACTAGTGAAGCTCCTGCACACACATCGGGTTTGTCCTGTTGTGTTCAGTTTTGTGTCGTGTTTTTATGTGTTTATGGAGCATGGAGGACGTAGGGTTGTGGGCGGAGCCTCGTACTGCAGCTGACCGTGAGGAGGGTTTGAATAGAGCCCAGGAGAGATCACTAGATGACTCAAACATGGATGACTCTAGAACCTCTTCGGGTTTGTGATGAGGAACATTAGAACATGAGAGAAAAGAAACTGTGACAGATCAAGGCGGCGGCAGGTTAAAGGTGGTGGCAGGTTAAAGGTGGTGGCAGGTTAAAGGTGGTGGCAGGTTAAAGGCGGCGGCAGGTTAAAGGCGGCGGCAGGTTAAAGGCGGCAGGTTAAATACGGCGGCAGGTTAAAGGTGGTGGCAGGTTAAAGGCGGCGGCAGGTTAAAGGTGGTGGCAGGTTAAAGGCGGTGGCAGGTTAAAGGCGGCAGGTTAAATACGGCGGCAGGTTAAAGGTGGGGCAGGTTAAAGGCGGCAGGTGGTGGCAGGTTAAAGGTGGCGGCAGGTTAAAGGTGGTGGCAGGTTAAAGGTGGCGGCAGGTTAAAGGCGGCGGGCGGTGGAGTGTTTGGGGTCAGTTGGATTTTTGCAGCAGACGAACGATTTTGTGGGACCCGAGTCTGAGCGCGACGTCCAGAGGAGTCTCCCCGTCCTGAAAACAAAAACACAACACACAGTTAGTCCAGGTTTAGTCCAGGTTTAGACCTGATTCCTAAGATGGAGGTGGGCGTGTCTGGGTGTGTCTCACCTGGTTTCTCAGGTGGAGGTGGTGGGCGTGTCTGTGCGTGTGTCTCACCTGGTTCCTCAGGTGGAGGTGGGCGTGTGGGCGGTCTCACCTGTTTCTCAGGTGGAGGTGGGCGTGTCTGGGTGTGTCTCACCTGGTTCCTCAGGTGGAGGTGGGCGTGTCTGTGGGCGTGTCTCACCTGGTTCCTCAGGTGGAGGTGGGCGTGTCTGTGGGCGTGTCTCACCTGGTTTCTCAGGTGGAGGTGGGCGTGTCTGTGGGCGTGTCTCACCTGGTTCCTCAGGTGGAGGTGGGCGTGTCTGTGGGCGTGTCTCACCTGGTTTCTCAGGTGGAGGTGGGCGTGTCTGTGGTGTGTCTCACCTGGTTCCTCAGGTGGAGGTGGGCGTGTCTGTGGGCGTGTCTCACCTGGTTCCTCAGGTGGAGGTGGGCGTGTCTGTGGGCGTGTCTCACCTGGTTCCTCAGGTGGAGGTGGGCGTGTCTGTGGGCGTGTCTCACCTGGTTTCTCAGGTGGAGGTGGGTGTGTCTGTGGGCGTGTCTCACCTGGTTTCTCAGGTGGAGGTGGGTGTGTCTGTGGGCGTGTCTCACCTGGTTTCTCAGGTGGAGGTGGGCGTGTCTGTGGGCGTGTCTCACCTGGTTTCTCAGGTGGAGGTGGGCGTGTCTGTGGGTGTGTCTCACCTGGTTTCTCAGGTGGAGGTGGGCGTGTCTGTGGGTGTGTCTCACCTGGTTTCTCAGGTGGAGGTGGGTGTGTCTGTGGGCGTGTCTCACCTGGTTTCTCAGGTGGAGGTGGGCGTGTCTCTGCAGAAGCGCTGGGACGAGTCGATGGTTTTTCCTCAGACACACATAATGCAGCGGAGTGTTCCCCTTCTGCAAGAACACAACCACAGTCTATAACACACAATACACACACATACACAATATACACACACACATACACAATACACACAAACAAACACAATACACACAATATAACACAAACACACAATACACAACAACACAATACACACAATTCACAATACACTCAAATACACACACAATACACAATACACACAATGCATACACACAATACACACACAAACACAATATACACACACACACACACAATACACACAATACATACACACACATACAAAAAACACAATACACACAAGTCTAACTGTTACTACTATTGCATATACTACTACTTTGAGTATTTGTATTGGTAGTATTTCTGAATTTATGTATTTGTGTAGTTGTGTATTGGTAGTATTTGTAGTATTTGTGTATTTGTAGTATTTATGTATTTGTGCAGTTGTGTCTGTAGTATTTGTAGTATTTGTGTAGTTGTGTAGTTGTGTCTGTAGAATTTGTAGTATTTGTGTAGTTGTGTATTTGTGTAGTTGTGTTAGTATTTGTAGTATTTGTAGTTTATGTATTTGTGTAGTTGTGTCTGTAGAATTTGTAGTATTTGTAGTATTTGTGTAGTTGTGTATTTGTAGTATTTGTGTAGTTGTGTATTTCTGTAGT